TGGCAGAAAAGGAATGGCGAGCGCGTGCAGAACCCTTCCAAATCGATGGTGGCTATCAACACCTTGGCAACAAACCAACACCTCCGAGGCGTAGTGGTCAGAGGAAACCACCCCATGGTATGCTTTTACTGAATGTTTATGCTGGTTACTCCCATGCAGACAGTTCAGGAATAATAAGGATCATGCGGTGCCATCGTCCATGATTTTGGTGCTGCTTCGGTGTCAAGTCCTCTAGCTACTCTGAATATATCAGAGATGATGATGAACGATGAGTGTGGGATTGTTGGACCCAATCCACTGTGGTGTGCGGACTGTGTGCGATGAATGGGTCCAGTGCTTAAACCTGGTGTATACTGCTTGGTTGTTGTTTATCGAAGAAGAATAAAAATGTCTGCATCTCCCTCTCTGTTTCTCTGTCCGCTCTTCTCCTTTCTCTGTTCTTCCTCAATTTCCCCAATCCTACCTCAGTTCTCCTGTGCAACCTATCAGGGGCCTCACATTCTAATTGCCCCCTGAATCAGGTTCTTGATGCCAATACAGCTGAAGCTATCACACTCCGTCAGTCTGCCTTGGAGTGGTTCAGGAGCTGACAATCAATGAAAAGCCATGCAACCACTGCAGCAACTATTCTCTGCTAATATCCGGACAGAATGAAGCAACACAAGCATCTAATGTTATAATGTATCAAGGACATGTGCAAACTACCGTTGTAGTCGGTCGATACAAAACAGGGCGGCGCCGTGGCGGTGACGATACAAAGCAAGAACGGCATGCATGAAGTAATCGACTCATCAATAAGTAAACTAATACACAATGTGTAAAATTGGCAGAAGCGTCTCGCCATCGTACAGGGCCACATGATTGTAGTTATATTGCGGGGCTTATCCCGGCTGCATACATTGGGGTTGTTACAAAAGATCACTTGCACGAGAAGAATAGAGGAAGATAACAGCAATCAGACTTAATGATTAAATAAATACACAATGGATAAGTCTCAATAATGCTTTCTTTTACCTAGCAAGAAAGGAAAATGATAGCCATTCTACTCACATGAGTAGATTGAATACGATTGATAAGTAGCATTTTTGTTTCGAAACATACATGCAGCCATACATGGAGTACTACTAAAATTAGGATGTCTACATGATGATAGTACTGTAGGCATTACCTCCACATTGCCATGATGATATCCTTTGCCGCTTTCAGTTCAGCCGGCAGGATTCTTGCTATGAGCTCCTTGAGAACAGACGGGCAGCTGGACTTAAGATGCTCGTAACCCTCACTTGCAATCATTGCCTCCAAATTGGATGGGGAGGCAAGGAATTGCAAACAAGCTTCTTTGAGATGACAGAAACCATGCTGCTCTGCTAGAGCCAAATTAGTTGCCACCATGTTGGAATCAATGTGATTGCACAGTTTCTCCTCGCATATCTGCTTTAGCCTGACAATATTGTACCTGTCGGCCGCCACTAGAAGATGGCCAGCCATCACCACATCAAGCATCGGAGGGACTGAATCGGTGTATATGTAGTGGAGCAAGGAATTGAATACATCTGGTTCCATGTCACAGATTTCAATAGGAGTAGCTGCAGAACTCTCCTTCATGGCACCGAGGAGCTCCGCTCTGAAGACGGATGAGCGAGCAGCGAGGACACACCTGTGAGCAGAGAATGTCTGTCCGTTGACTTGAAAGATGAGGTCCGCTGCATCCTTGTTCTTGAGCAGATCGCCGAGATGCCAGTGCAGGTCGCTTGGAGGAACCCTTGTGTCTTTGTCATGGATGACGGTGACATCACACCTGATGGTAAGACAGTCGTCTCTTAGATGCACCGATGCCTCCAGATCAGCCTTCTTGATCAGGACTGGGTAGCTCCAGGGTGAACCTTTTGAGAAGGTACGCATAGGGTTGGCATGGCTGTATGAAGGCACTGGTTCTCCATTCTTGTCAAGTACACTGAGCGTGAATTTCGCCTTCACATCTTCGGCACCAGCAGATTGAAGAAGAAGATAAAGAGATATGGAATCAGCACAATTCGTAGCGAAACCATTTGGGCAGTATTCCACGGCCCAGTCGTGGCCTCCAACACTGAAAGGTGGAGAAGTCATCCACTCGCCGTTCTTGATTAGGGCTTTGGTTCTTGAGTATCCATCCACCTTGAGCACACACGACTTCTCCTCAACTACAATGGCAGCAGAGATCTTGCACTGCTCTGCCATTCTAGAGGCGGGATTGGTGGATTGGAGTAGGATGGAAGACTGATGAGATAAGAATTTCGCTCCATCAATATATATAGAAAGGACTTGGGAAGTTGGATCCCTTCATTTCACATTCAGCCAAACGAAAACAGTGGCCTGTTCGCATCTCCATTTAGATTTGAGCGCCTGCGCACATTTGCTGCCTGACATTTACTACTACTCGTTTACCTTCCACTGCACTGCAAATGACTAGGGAACCTTTTCACCTGCCGATGCAATGCATGCAGCACTAATGATTTTCCATGTGACCCTGAATCGAGAACTAAGCCTTTCAATGAACAAATACTCCCTCCTTTCCGGTTTATAGGGCTTATCTCAAAATCTGAGTTTTTCCATTTTATAAGGCTCAATTTGGTTGTTCCCCATCACAAGTTCAGATTTCAAGGTGCATTAAATAATTGCATGCAAGTATTAAGAGAAAATTGATCAATGCATGTACTTTATGCATGCATGCATTACAATTAATACATTAAAAGGGGCAGCCCCAGTGCATGTAGCTCCCACTTGCGCAGGGTCTGGGAAAAGGGTCCGACCACTTTGAGTCTATTGTACGCAGCCTTTCCCTACATTTCTGCAAGAAGCTATTTCCAGGACTTGAACCCGTGACTTCATGGTCACAAGGCAGCAGCTTTACCACTGCGCCAAGGCTCCCCCTCCATTACAATTAATACATTGATAAACATAAATTTTTGAGGAAAACAAAAGCATTAATTAGGTACTTTTGTAAATTATAAAAACTATTCTACTACTCACCATCTACCTTGGTTGGTGAGATTTTTGAATTGAGCCTTATAAACCGGAAAGAAGGGAGTAAAACTTTTCACCTCCAGAGGCTACACCTTTCAACGACAAATGGCACGGCCCTTCTTGTGTGAACAAAATCAGCAACAAAGAACCAATTAGCCAGGTTCGCGTTCGCGTGACCAGAAAGTATGTGCAATTGATTAGGACACCAATGATAGTACAATCCAGCTGAACGTAACGACCTGAACGCCAATTATACCGACCGCAACAAGAGATTTGAAGATAGTTTTTACTGTACTCAGATTGTTCGCCCTACATTTTCTCAAGACAACAACCACTCTGTATTTAGCAGACAACAGAACTGCCCTAGTCGTGCTGAACAGAAAACTACAATAACCTCTTTTTTTCTCCTTTAAAATCGAGTTTCCTAAAACTGAACCCAAACAACCCGGCCCCAAGAGCATAACAAGTGCACAGCAACACTACCAGCACTGTTCAGAGGGAAATAATAACCAATGCCCGTCAAAACTAGTATATTAGCTAACAGAGGATAACAATATTAAAATGCTTGAGGATTACGGCTTAGTGCTTTTTTTAAATACCAATATTTCATTTTGAAAAACTGTTAAGACTTCGGCTTAGTGCTTTCAACTGAATTACAACACAAGATCCCATGGTCCACAGACATGGCATCCATATTTCACATTCAGTTTTTCAGTGCGAAAGTAGACATGAGTGCTAAACTGCTAATAACCGAACAAAGAAAGAAACACCATCATCTAATAGTGCTACTTGAAGGACCCACACAACCTAGCATTGTAGTCAGTCACTACAAAACAGGGCAACGGTGACGAGAAGAACCATTCTACTCACCTGAACATAGATTAGACTGAATGATTAATACTAACAATTTTGTTCAGAAATACACTGGCAACCATACATGGAAATGTAGCATAACCATTACTACCAAAATATGGATGACATATATGATAATAGTTCTGTAGGCATTACTTCCACGTTGTCATGATAATATCCTTTGCTGCTTTCAGTTCAGCCGGGAGGATTCCAGCTACGAGGTCCTTGAAAACAGATGGGCAACTAGATTTCAGATGCTCATACCCATCACTCACCATCATCGCCTCCAAATTGGACGGAGAAGCAAGGTACTTTAAACAAGCTTTTTTGAGAGCATGGAAACCATGCTGCTCGGCCAATGCCAAACTAGTTGCCACCATGCCGGAATCAATGTGACTGCACAATTTCTTCTCGCATATCATCTTCAGCCTGCCGATGTTGTATCTGTCAGCCGCAATAAGTAGATGGCCAGCCATCACCACATCAAGCACAGGAGGAACTGTGTCGGTGTATATGAAGTGGAGCAAGGACTTGAACACATCAGCTTCCATGTCACGTATTTCAATAGGACTAGCTGCATAACTCTCCTCCATGGTGCCGAGGAGCTCCGCCTTGAAGACTGATGACCGAGCAGCGAGGACACACCTATGGGCCGAGAAACTCTGTCCACCAACCTGAAAGGTTAGGTGTGCTGCATCCTTGTTGTTTAGGAGGTCACCAAGATGCTGGTGCAGGTCGGTTAGAGGAACAGTTGTTTCTTCGCCGTGGATGACGGTGACATCGCACCTGATGGTGAGACAGTCGTCTCTTATATGCACCGATGCCTCCAGATCAGCCTTCTTGACGAAGTTAGGGTAACCCCAGTTATCACCTTTGCTTGAGAAGGTATGTATAGGGTGCGTACAGCTGTATGAGGGCACCGGTTCTCCATCCTCGTCAAGTACACTGAACGTGAATTTCGCCTTCACATCTTCAGCATCGGCAGATTTAGGCTCGAGATAAAGAGAGATGAAATCGGTAGAATCATCATCGTTGCCGTATGGGTAGTAGCGCACGGCCCAGTCGTGGCCGCCAACACTGAAAGGGGTAGAGGCCACGTCCTCGCCGTTCTTGAGTAGCGCCTTGGCTCTTGAGTATCCATCTACCTTGAGCACATATGACCGCGCATAAGACCTTTCCTCAGATACCATGGCAGCAGAAATCTTGCATTCCTCTGCCATTCTGGAGGTGGGTTTGGACTTTGGAGTAGGATGCAAGTTTCGCCAGAGGGAGGACTAGTTTTGTTCCCTCTATCTGTATCTATTCATTCTCGCCGCTGTCCAGTGATGTCGCTGGAAGCACGGCCGCCGCCGCCGGCGCTAGGGATTGGAGGTGGTGGCAGAGACGCGCGGGGGGAAGGGTGGCGGCGGAAGCAGTAGAGCGGACAGCGAGTTAGGTTTTCTGCCGGATGGTTTTTACCAGACGCTGTTAGAAAAACGGACGGCCGAGATGGGCTCAGGCAGGAGGCAGGACGGCTGAGACTGCATTCGCCCTGATCAGGTAATGGTGCAATTTATTAGAAGCATCCTGACCATTTTGGGAAGAACGGGCAAGAGGAACATTAGAACACCAACGACAGCAATACAGCATCTTTTCTGTCGTGGTCACGTTTAACATCTTAACAAAATATTGATATTTTAAACTAGGATCGCCTTTGGAGTTGGAGCAGGACTGGTCGATTGTGCAATTGCGTTGAATCAAACTTTTGGGGCCTAGGCTACGGACGCCGCTGATCATGGAGGAGTGACTTCGATAGAGCACTTGATGAAGGATCATGGGAGAGATGATGGGATCTGACATCATGCTCTAGTTTTTTTTTCTTTGAGTCGGATCATCATGCTCTAGTTGAAACAATCTCTCATTATCTTTAGTTTTTTCTTTATTTCAAGAGGTAAATACATCAATGGTGCTTGAACTTGCCATGGATGTGCACTTTAGTGCCTGAACTTGCAAAATACATTGAACTGGTTCAATAACTTGGCATGGACGTGCATATACGGTTTAAATGGCGTTTGTATACGTCCACGAAGCTGAGAAGGCACACCAACATGCCATGGGGCCCACTGTCATTGACAAGGGCGCGTGGCCTGTTTTTTTGTGGGAAAACCCCAGAATTATTTTCTTACCAAAAAGGCCCTCACGACAAAACTAACAAATTATAAAATAAAAGCTGGGAGTATAACTATAAGATAAAAATTAAAACTGGTGTGCTGGATCGAACCAACGACGTACCAGTCAAGTGCACGCGGCTAGCCACTCGACAACTTCACATTTGCTGATATTTAATGATTTTTAACCTTTATAAATATTTGGCTGAACAAAATAAATAGAATTTAATAATCCAGCAAAAACAACACCGGATCTGTGACCCGAACATCAGAACAAAGCTTGTAGACCAAGCACGGATGCCACTCCAACCAATGAGTTGTCATATATCAAAAGTACAAGTACTCTTTATGACTGTATAACAAACATAATTTTTCAAAATAATGCAAAAATCTTCGTGCCATTTGAAAAACAATTCATGTGTTATTTTAAAGCATATTCATTAAATTGAAAATATTTATGAATGATTAAAATGTTTATATGATTCAGGTATTATTCATGTAGGGATTCGCAGTCTAATGACACCTAGGCTTGTATTTTTTTAGAAACACACACAAACTTATATACTATGTAAACTTTTTAAAACAACACATTTCTTTGTTAAAGGATGAACACATTGATATACTGCATAAGTAGTTTATTAAAAATGTGAAAAATTAAAACTATATGATTTTTTTAATATATGAATGTTTCGAAAGTTACAAACATTTTTTCAAATTATAAATTTTATTCTAATTCATAATTTTATTATGTGTATTTCTATTAAATTACTGCGTGGGTATTCTAAGAAATTATATGAACGCTTTAACATAATTTGTTTTACATACATGTATATTGTTTGTAGGTGATAATAATTAATTTATTTCTAAAAAATGAAATGAAAAAGAACAAACCCATTGAAACTTGATCCACACTGTGGTCCATTTTAGCCATACGGGCTCGTTATGTTATAAACCTAAATTAATCATTTTACCATTCGACGTCATTGGTTATAGTGGTACATGCGGCCACTATATAGCCTCTGGTTGCAGGTTCAAAGCAGTGGCACTATATTGCTGGAATAATTTTTTAATTACATTGTTTAGCTTTATGTTTATAAAGTGTATGAACCCTTTCCTGACACTAAATTTGAACAGGTAGATTGGCTAGGCACGCGCAGGTTTCAAACCCCGGACCAGTTCATTTATTAATAGATTAATACTTTGTTTTTGCAATTTATCAGTTTCTCTCTGAGGGCTTTTTGTAAGATTTTTTTTATTCTAGAGGGTTTTCTGCAAAAAAAAAACAGGCTACACGCCTTGTCCCTTACATCCTAGAGTGCCTCGTCGGCGTCATGGAGGTACAAAAACAAGAGTTGAACCGTATATGCACGTCCATGCCAAGTTACGAAACCAGTTCAATGTATTTTGCAAGTTCAGGCATCAAAGTGCACATTCGTGGCAAGTTCAAGCACCAATGATGCATTTACCTCTTATTTCAACTTCTTTTGTAAAGAGACTTGCTTTCCCTCTAAAACCGAGTTTGTTTTCTTTATTTCAAAAGCTCTAGTTAAACTTGAGGTCCACCAGCAGCACTCGATAGTGGTACATGCCTGATAATTTGCCAGGACGGTCGATGGTGGCACATACCTAATTGTTGGTGCATATAGCCCTTCTTTCTTCCCTCCACTTCCAATCACATTCTATGCACTCATATAATGCCTCCACCTCACTGATGACACGACCAACAATGTTCCAATTATGATGAAGATTTGGCATGGGCGTCGCACCGATCGCCTGCGTGATGGTAGCATCGTAGTTAGGAGCGTATTTGATTATGAATTGACCATAAACTTTAGCATAATAACTTGGACGAATATGCTCAAGCAATTTGAGAAGTAACCCTGGTACTATGACAACATTCAAAAGAAATTCCTTAATGTAGCTGATGAGGATTGTTTTGCCATGATGTTAGGTAAATACATGTCAATGAGGACTATGATGTTGGTTCATATTGTTATCAGCGAGACCAGGCAAGACTGCATCGTTAATGGGGAATCGACATCCTCTGCTGAAGGTTGAGAGAAGGTGATCAAGCACGAAGGGGACTCCAGTGCATCAACATCCCCTGCTGAAAGAACTCAACCTAGATAAGCTTCTCATTGAGGGTCAATAGGAGGAAAGTGATTTAGAAGATGTGTTTTGGTGATTTATGACAAAACAGTTGAGAGGACTAAGTGATTAATTATCAAGTTTATTTTAGAAAATTAGTCATCGTGGATTTACGGATATCTATGGTATTCTCATTTATGAATTTCTCCTGAGCAATTTTACCCGGTACATCTCAGTTGTGACTTTTGCATTTTTGCATTTGAGAATCATAAAGAGGTTTTGGAAGTTTAAGTCTATGACGAATCGGGGACTCCGAGCGCTCCTCACACAGAGTGGTTCGAATCTGACTTGATCAAATTTTGTGATGCAGCATGAATAGAGTTTGAGACGAGAAAAGCATAGATAGCTAGAGAAGGTTCTTAGGCACTTTTGTCCATCCACTTGGCAAAAGGAAATAAAACCGAACAATCAAAACAACAAGTGGATGTCCTCGAATGAGTAAAATATGCAACCAGCATGCTCACACAATAAGGTGGCAAATGAAATATGTGACAAGGCATGCACAACCAATTCTAGCATCTATCAAGCAATTTGCGATGACTAGGTCATCTATATATGAGTATATTGACTTAGGAGTCAAGTGAGAGCACTTGATCATAGGTCATACTCATCGTTTAAGCTCAAGTGGGGTTACCACTTTTACATAGAGCATTGTTGTGTTCACATCTTTAGAGTTGCTTTAGCTCAAGTCTTAGAGTAAAGCTCCCCCTAGATGTGATATCCCCCCTTAGAGGGATGAACTAACCTCGGGTTTTGTCGATGATGACTTCATGTAGATGTTGAAGATGTGGATGCTCAATGTTGATGTAGATCACTTTGGAGCTATCCATTTGAGTGAATTGCACTTTCAATACCTACATGGGTTAGTCCCACAAGGAACAAACAAGGATATCCATAGACATAGAGTGATGCACACACAAGATGATGTCCATGAAAACTTTTAGGTTACCTTGTCCCTTGTCTTACCAACAAGAGGGTTTGTGACTCCTTGAACTAGTGCAAGATGTGGAAGTTGATTGCACTTGCTCTTGCCAAGATGATAAGAGTGAAGTATGTTGGCGGAGTCACCCTCAAGAACTCTCTAGTTCTTCTTCTTTTGGATCAACACCATCTTGATGGGAATCCTTGGAGTTGTAGTCGTACTTGATGAAGTGGAACTTGAAGTAGTCTTTGGAATCCACTTGACTAAGGTCTTAGGAGCTTCTTCAAATGCATCAATTTCCTCTTGAAGCTTGTCCTTGCCTTTTTGCTTGTAGTCTTGTGGTGGAAGATCATCTTGAGCTTGTGTCCCCTTGAAGGAAGTATCATACTTCTCTTGTTGAGGAACAAACTTTGTCTTGGGGTATTGATCTTCTTCCCACTCAACTCCATTGGCATTGAACTTTCGTTCAAAACCAACACCTTGATTCTTCCGATGCATTCCTTGCTTGCGCACAATTTCCTCGAATTGCTTACTCCCGGCAAGGCTTTTGTACACTCCTTTCTCTATAATTCCCTTCAATAAGCTATTTTCTTGCTCAAGTGTAACTTGGCTAAGAGAATCATTAGTGGAATCAAGAGAACTACTAGAAGCAACAATATTGGATTTAGCATGATCATTGTTACTACTAGAGGAAGAATATTTCTTGTTCTTGTTATTAGACTTGACTTGAGGCATGTAAGTGGATAAGAGTAAATGCTTGGCAATGTGAGAAGAACTTTTCTTGCGGAGATCATCATTGATTGCTTTTAAGAACTCATGCTCTTGCTCAAGATTGAGATTTTCAAAGCGTAATTTCTCATGAGCTCTTAAAAGTTCTCGATGATCTTCGAAGATAGTTTCATGAGCTAACTTAAGAGTGTTTAGTTCTTTAGTTAGAGCCTCAATCTTTTCCTTATCATTGTCATTCGTTTTATCTTGATTAGCATGATTAATTGACGTTTCA